GTCCGTGATTCGGTTGATTGAGACTCTGATTGGTTGATCTGATTTGGCAGTAAGTTGGATTCCTGATTTGGCAGTAAATCCGCTTCTGAGTTCGAGTCCGAAACTGATCTTGATTCGATCGTGATTCGTCCGAGTCTATTCTCGGTTGGATGACTCGTTGATTCCTTAACACTTGGCTTGATTCTGCACGCGTATGGATGCATTCCGTCGCTTCCGTGCGATTCGTCGATCTCGTCGCCTCGTTGGCTCGTCGGTTTGTGCCGAGCTATGCTAGGGGACCTATAAGCAATTTTATATGCCTACAGATACCCCCTCCAAAGTATTTCAGTCTCGTTCTTTTATAGAAGAGTCTGGGATACTTTGGATATGATTGTCCCTACCTTCAGTCGGTATAACGGGACCTCGGAATGGCTTCTGTTCTTGACTCCTTCAATTCTCCAGGCTTTTCGGTGCTTTGTCGAAAGTCTGTAAGAGTTCCGGTGCTGCATTTATTGTCTGACCGTTTGTCGGAATTTTCTGAACTTGAAGTCGATTCCTTTGAGCTGACCATTGATTGTGGCGTCGAGTCTTTATGCACAACGCGTTGTCCGGCGTAGTGTGGTTGAGTTATCCTTAAGAATATTTATAAACAATATTCTCCAGGAACTTCTCAAACCAAAAATAGGGAATAGTTTATACTCATATACCTTATTGGAGTATTAAGAAGCAGTTTATACTCGTATACTTTTCGGAGTGTTAAGAAGCAGTTTATACTCGTATACTTTTCGGAGTATTAAGAAGCAGTTTATACTCGTATACTTTTCGGAGTATTAAGAAGCAGTTTATACTCGTATACTTTTCGGAGTATTAAGAAGCAGTTTATACTCGTATACTTTTCGGAGTATTAAGAAGCAGTTTATACTCGTATACTTTTCGCCTAGGGTGGCTCGGCCTTGGCCGAGCCACCCTGAGGTGGCTCGGCCACCGAGCCACCCTAGGGTGGCTCGGCCTTGGCCGAGCCACCCCAAGGTGGCTCGGCTTTGGCCGAGCCACCTCAAGGTGGCTCGGCTGAGGCCGAGCCACCTTGGGGTGGCTCGGCTTTGGCCGAGCCCCCGCGGGCGGTGGTTTCCGACTTTTTCGAGTCGTTTTCCGTTGTCTCGTTTGTCCGTGTTTCGGTTGACCTGAGACTCTGATTTGATGATCTGATTTGGCAGTAAGTTGGATTCCTGATTTGGCAATAAATCCGCTTCTGAGTTCGAGTCCGAAATTGATCTTGATTCGATCGTGATTCGTCCGAGTCCGCTCTCGGTTGGATGACTCGTTGATTCCTCAACTCATTAGCTTGATTCTGCACGCGGGTGGATTCATTCCGTCGCTTCCGTGCGATTCGTCGATCTCGTCGCCTCGTTGGCTCGTCGGTTTGTGCCGAGCTATGCTAGGGGACCTATAAGCAATTTTATATGCCTACAGATACCCCCTCCAAAGTATTTCAGTCTCGTTCTTTTATAGAAGAGTCTGGGATACTTTGGATATGATTGTCCCCACCTTCAGTCGGTATAACGGGACCTCGGAATGGCTTCTGTTCTTGACTCCTTCAATTCTCCAGGCTTTTCGGTGCTTTGTCGAAAGTCTGTAAGAGTTCCGGTGCTGCATTTATTGTCTGACCGTTTGTCGGAATTTTCTGAACTTGAAGTCGATTCCTTTGAGCTGACCATTGATTGTGGTTGAAAAGCGTTTGTCCGGCGTAGTGTGGTTGAGTTATCCTTAAGAATATTTATAAACAATATTCTCCAGGAACTTCTCAAACCAAAAAATAGGGAATAGTTTATACTCATATACCTTATTGGAGTATTAAGTAGCAGTTTATACTCGTATACTTTTCGGAGTGGTAAGAAGCAGTTTATACTCGTATACTTTTCGGAGTAGTTAAGAAGCAGTTTATACTCGTATACTTTTCGGAGTATTAAGAAGCAGTTTATACTCGTATACTTTTCGGAGTGTTTTCTGCGCCCAAATGCGCTGAACCGGCTTAAAATGAGCCAAAAAAGGCAGTAAATCGGTTCAAAAAATCCTCCAACTCCTCCGAACAAATGGGAGAGGGGTGAGTGAATGATGGACTGAACCGTCGCTCGATTTGAAGTCGTTTCGAGGTTCAAACTGGTTCAATTTGGCTCAAACTGGCTCATTCTGGTTCAATCTGGCTCAATTTGGCTCATTCTGATCTGGTCTGGTCCAGCCAGGCTCAATCTGACTCAATTTGGCTCATTCTGGCTCATTCTGGCTCATTCTGGCTCAATTTGATCTGGTCTGGTCCAGCCAGGCTCAATCTGACTCAATTTGGCTCATTCTGGCTCATTCTGGCTCAATTTGGCTTGGTCTGGTTCAACCCTGGTCTGGTCTGGTTCAGCCAGATCTGGTTCAAGGCTATAAAAGAGGGTTTTTCTTCATTTTTTATTGTTTAAGTCCGTTCCGCATGTGACGTTATGCTAAAAGAGTTAACTCTTTTAGTGCTACGATATTGAATACGTAGACTTCGTCTTTCTCCTGTGAAAAGACTAAACAGCAACGTGTATCAGACGTTGACTTAGGATTTTTGGCAAATCCTCAGCCCTCAACGGATTTGTCATGCTTTTACCGATTACCGTTTGAATCGGGCTTACATGCGGATTGTCTTAAGTCCGTTCCGCATGTGACGTTGTGCTAAAGGAGTGAACTCCCTTAGACTTGATGCTACGACTTCGAATACGTAGACTTCGTCTTTCTCACGGTAATAGACTACCCGGCGACGCGTGTTAGGCGTTGACTTTAGGATTTTTGGCTAACCCCAAGCCTTTAACGGATTTGATTAACCTTTACCGACTACCGTTTGAGTCGGGCTAGCATGCGAATTGTCTAAATCCGTTCCGCATGTAACGTTGTGCTTAGAGACTGAATCCTCTAAGACTTGTTGCTATGACTTTGAATACATAGACTTCGCCGTTGTCATGGGAATAGGCTACCCAGCAACGTGTATTAAACGTTGACTTATCCCTCCTTAGGCTTCGGGATAAAATACCCCAGAATCGAACTCTGGTGTCTTTTTCTACGGGGAAAGACTAAACCGGCGACGCGTGTTAGGCGTCGGCATATCCTTTCTTAGGATTCAGGATGAAATTCCCCATGCGTGTAAGGCATGGATTTTGGTGTTATTAATAACAACCTGTCACAATGTTGAATATGTGAACGGGTGTTCTTTTTAAACGGTTAAGAACTGACCGGCAGCGCGTGTCAGGCGCAGACTTATCCTTGCTTAGGTTTCAGGATAGAATACCCCAGAATCGAACTCTGGTGTCTTTTTGTGCAGAAAAAAGACTAAACCGGCAGCGCGTGTTAGGCGCAGACTTATCCCTGCTTAGGATTCGGGATAAACTTCCTAGGATGAATCCTGAATTCTTCGAAAAGGATTGGTATGGGGAAGGAAGAATTTTATATTCTATTCCCCGAACAAAGAAGGAAAGGAGACTCGAGGTGGGATCTCCACCCCCAGAATCCGGAAAGGTGAAACTAAGAGTGGGATCTCCACTCCGAGAATCAAAAAGATTCGGATAACCCTAACTGTCGGAAGGTTTGATTATCGAACTAAAGATGAATTTCTCGTTTATCGAGAATGAATCGTGGTTTTGGTCCTAACTGTAGGAAGGTTTGACCAAGTGGGAGGTTTGAGGTGACCCTAACTGTAGGAAGGTTTGATCACTCGATTTGAAAGTGGACGCCGAACGCAGAGGTCGAACAAACGCCGAGGTCGAACGAACGCAGAGCTGAAAGGGGGAGGCGAACGCAGAGCTCGCGGGAGGCGAACGCAGAGTTCAGGGGGAGGCTCGAACGCAGAGCTGTGCTGCCGAAGATCGCCTGGACCTCGCCGTC